GGTTCCATCAGTAATTTTGCCTTGTTCTAGCAGCCACCTGGTCTGGTATCTGCAGGGCTAGGGGAGGACAGGAGTCAGACTGTTGTCACAAATCTGGGGTTCCGGGGCCACGGTCACCCGACAGTGAATCCCATTCTGAGAGCCTCCTGGTGCTCTGTGTCATGCTTTGGGGCCCAGGGTAACCTCTGAGGCCCATTCCAGCCTCTCTGAATGCACAGCCTTTGTCCACTCTTAGCACCACCTCCTCAACCGTCCCCACTTCCATCCCCCACCTCACTAGAAAGGAAAGAGCCCGGCACCTGGACAACATCCTCAGTGCCACAGGAGGGAAATGTCACAGCCCTATTCTGGGCTGGGAGTGAAGAGGAATCCTCTGTTTGAAACAGAGGATTTGGGGCTGCAACAGGAGTGAACAGTTTGATGACCATTTGAACTTCACCTGACCTTGTCCCCTGATTCACCCGTTCAGCTGTTGGGATCTGCCAACTGGCTATGCTCTTCTGGGTCTTTGACCGGTAACCTTTCATACACAGTTAGCGGTACTGGCCCTGGAATGGGGACATCTGGCCAGGGCCATATGCACTAGTATCTGTTTAGGCTCCATTCAGCCATCAGTTCCATGTAGTTTCTCATTCTCTGTTTCAGCTCAAACCCAGTCTTCCCTAAATATTTTTTGAACACTTACTGTATGGAAAACACTTGGCCAAGCTCTATTGTGAACAGAGCTGATGACCAGGCACTTGGTAGGCAGCTGGCACTTTGTAAAGACTTGGCAAATTGAGTCCCAGGAGTTCTGGAGTTCACATGGTCAGGAAAAGAAAATGTAACCATGCTGGGTCAAGAGACAAGTGTTGTCTTTCTCAGAGGTCTCAGGGTGAAAAGAAAGGAAAGTCTGAACCCCTCTGTGCCTGCCATAAGCCTGCCTCTCCCTTTACGTAAGTGACGGCCTGGAAAGGTAGGCATCTTCCAGGCTCTCTTTTTCCTGTTGGAACCTAGGGATTTATTTATTCAGTGATCATTTCTTGAGCACCTTCTATGCACCACACGTTGTGCTGGTACTGGGATAATGAAGCCTACCTCCCTCACCAACCTCATGGGAAGCTGCACAGACTGAGTGAGGCAAAGGAAGGGCTCTGTGAAACGTGCAGCACTGCCTGCTGCCGCCTAGGGGCCTGGGGAGCTTGCCAGCCCCTTGAACATCCCACCTAGAGGCTCCCCTAAGGTGAGCCGTGTCCTTGACCCATCATCACACCCACAACTCTCTTTCTGTTACTGGCCAACCAGGCTTTCCTTGACTTGGAATAAATGGCTTCCTGGCTTCTCCCCACGCAGGCTGTTTCTGGGCCAGGGTTTGTTTGAGGCCCTGTTTGGATATTGTTAAAAGTGGGCAGCTTTGCTCAGAAAGGTCAGCATGAGAGACGAGAACAAAGAGATCTTTCAAGCTGGCCTCTGGCAGGGCAGCCAGGAATGGCTCGGAAAAGCCCCAGCTCCACCTGGCACTGGCAGCTTCAGAGCTGTGACGTGATTGCTCAGGCTCATGGCCATCTGCAGAGCCCTGGAGAAGCCCCGTCGTGTGCCTTCTCATTTCTCAGAGGGGTAAGCTGAGGCAGAGGGGCATTCCCAGGTCAGTGTTAGCTGGGACCCCGGAGCTCTCCCTGTACAGCCCTGGATACTGGGATCTCTGTTTTTTTTTTTTTTTTTTTCTTGAAGGGCATTCAATAAAAATTGGGATTTACCCAAAACATCCCTGAAGGTGATTATTTGGTTTGCTAAAGAATTCCTGGGAGCTTATATACCAGAATCCCTTACAGATTTGAAAGTAGTAAAAAGACACAACTTTTAGATACAGAATCCTAAAATGCGTAAGATGCAATGCTGATGTGCTGATTCCTTGAGAGTGTGTGTGTGTGTGTGTGTGTGTGTGTGTGTGTGTGTGTGTGTGTTGGGGGGGAGTCTGCGTTTCTCCCAAGCTTCCAGGTAATGCCAGTCTGCTGGTGCAAGAGTGTTGATGATGTAAAGGCTAAAGGCTGAGCTCATTCGGCAATGCAGAGAGAGGACAGTCCTTGCGGTGGAGTGGGAAGAAGGGGCCACAGTCATTCTTGGCTTTGGCCTTTTGGTAGCAGGTCCCGGGACCTGCCAGCCTCCTCTGGGCCACAGGGCCCTAGGCAGCCCGGGAGTCCAGCTCTCTTCAGCCTGCTGCTGTTGGGCCCAGCTGCCAGCGTTGTCTTAGACTGATATCCCAGAATCGGCCAGTTCTTTTCTCTTCCGGGAGCTCATGAGGTCTGTCCTTTTACTCAGTTTACTGCAGTCTGTCTTTTCCCTGTCTTCTGTTGGTGGCTGGTGCTGGGCTGTCCCCTAAGCTGGCCTGGCCTATGGGACCCTTCAGCTTTGCGACCACCTTCCTCCTGCCAGCCCCCAGCCCCACAGAGGACAGAAGAACAGGCTTCCTGGTAGATAAACCAGGCCCAAGGACAGGCCCGGGCCCCCCACAGGAAGCTTCTTTGGTTCCCCTGGGGCCTCTGTCTCGGGAAATAACCCAGAGCTGGGGAGCAGGCCATAGGCCCAGAGGTTGGGACTACAGGCACGGGCACCACCACAACCCAGCTAATTTTTGTAGTTTTAGTAGAGATGGGGTTTTTACCATGTTGGCCAGGCTTGTCTTGAACTACTGACCTCAAGTGATCTGCCAGCCTCAGCCTCCCAAAGTGCTGGGATTGTAGGCATGAGCCATCACACCTGGCCCACCCCAGAGTCCTTAATTCAGCAGGTCTGGGTGGGGGTCTCAGAATTTGCATTTCTAACAAGTCCCTGGGATACGGATGCTACTAGTCCAAGTACCACATTTTGAGGCCCTCTTGTCTGAATTATCATTTCTGTCCAGGTGTGGTAGTGGCTCATGCCTGTAATCCCAGCACTTTGGGAGGCTGAAGTGAGAGGATCACTTTAGTCCAGGAGTTCAAGACCAGGCTGGGCAACATAGCGAGACCTCATCTCTGCAAATAAATAAAATAAATTATCATTTCTTGGAGTGTGGGACGAGTACTTCTAGTGACACACAATGTGGTTTTAAGTGATGTGCACACTAACTTTTAAAAAATACTTCTGTTATTATTAAGGGAAGGTGAGTTATCTACTCACCTTAAAAGAAGAAGAAAGATATAAGGAAAAGTATGACATAAATAATAGTACTGGTGATAGGCAGCTAGTAGTAAACATGGTGAATGAGGTATGCAGTCTACAGAAGTCTGGGAGACACTGAGCTAAGTGAAGTCCTCATTTTACAGACCGTACCCAGACTTGATGGTCTCTAAGGAGGCTGAGGTTCCCTGTCCTGCTTGCCACTCCCAGGTCTTCAGAGCACTTGGCAGGCTAGGGAAGGTCATTGTAACTCTGATCCTACCCCAAGAGTCTCCATTCTCAACTCTGAAGACAAGGGTCTGTGTTGGTAATGTTGGTAGTTTGCACGGTTTTTGCTTGCATGTCCTGAGGCCAGAGCTTTCCAGAAGGTGAGGGATTTGATCTGCAAATGTGTCCTTTCATGGCTGTCAGGCCCCAAAGCCCCCAGGAGCCTGTTTTGTGCATGAAATTGAAGCAGGGGCTTATGTAACTTTCCTGGCTGCCAGTTTGGGCTGTTCACCCTCTGTAATCTTAATTTTTCTAAATTCGCTGTCCAGCAGCCTCTGCTTTCCCTTGTGTGGTGTGATCCAGGGAACCCCCTGAGCGGATGAGCAGGGCAGCCCTCACACTTTCCTGAGCATGTGCTACGTGGCAGGAGCTGCTGGGCAGAGCTTTAGGAACGTGGGAGTGATGTGCCTGGCCCTCAGGAGGCCACAGTGTGCAGTGGTCAGACCTGCAGGTGGAAAATGACCTTGAGAGGTTTTACTTGCTTCACAAGAGGAATTAACAGTCAGGGCAACATGGGGAGGGGTCTGGGGAGGCTTCGTGGAGGAGGTGACATTGGAACTTGCTTTTGAAGGATGAAGTGGGGAAAGGCTGTGTAAGGCAGTGGAAGAAGCCAGTGCCCAGACTTGATATAGGGGATTGCGGTCGTTCAGACAGGACTTGCTCGAGTGCTGGGGGCTGAGGTGGGAGAAAGGTGAGGGGCAGACCCTACAGCCTCAGACGCTATGCTGAGGACCTAGACTGGATTCTGTGAGCCCTGGGACCACTATAGGGCTGGATTTGAGAGAATCCAGGTGACCTTCCTGCATCCACTAGACCCCCAAGGCGCAGTGGGAGCAGTTTTTCACATTGCAGGCCACAACCTGTTAGTGGGAATGCAAGATCTATTTAGTGGGCTGCAGCCAGCATGTTACAAAACGAGGGTAGAGGGAGAAGGAAAATGGAAAACCTCAGTGTTGATTGCACATCGGAGAGATGGGTATTGTGTCGAGAAACTTCGGTTTTATGTCAGGGAAGTATGTGTGGATACTGGGTTGCAATGTGAGATGTATTTCTCACTATGGCTCACACTTTTAAAAGCTTTAAAACTATTTCAAGGCACAGAAGGCTGATTGGAAGTGGTGAGATTGGCTGGTGTGGTCATCAAGGCTCAAGGTGAGGCAGGCCAGCCTGGGGTCATGGTAGTAGGGACAGAGAGGGGAGGATGGAATCCAGCATTGACCAGATACAGCAAGTGAAGCTGGAAAATTTGAGGCTGACTCAGGTCAGAAAGTCACCAGCCCAAGGCTCCTGGGCCAAGGTCACACCTTGTTTGAGATACTCAATCTTGGTACCCCTTTGGTGGTAAACTGGAAGCCCAAGTTGCTGGGGGGAAAGAGGGGAAGGGACTAGGGGAAAAGGGATCCTCCTTCCTTTTTGTTGATGTCCTGGGCCTCTAAAGTCCTGGTGTTACAACTCTAACTTTTCACTCCAGTTGTCGAATGTGTTCAGATAAAACTCTAGCAGGCAGCTCCTCCTGGGATCTGCTGATATGCTGAGAGCATCCTTCTTTGCGAGCTAGGCTGGTAACAACTCTACTTCTGCCGTCCTCCCACCAGGAACATCGTGAAGGGCATGAGAGAGCTCCGGGAGGTGCTGCGGACTGTGGAGACCAAAGCAACTCAGAACTTCAAAGTGGTAATGTGGGGTGCTGGCGGTGCTGGCTTATTCAGGAGTCAGTTTTGGTGGGAGACAACAGAAGTCCTTGCAGGGAACCTCTGAAGCAGGGGTGGCAGTAGGTCTCCTGCCTGCTCATGGCAGAGGTTGGTAATCAATCTCAGCATCCTTTCCCACGCAGCCAGGGATGTGCAGCCTCCTTCTCCCTGTAGCACCGCAGATAGCCCCGATGTTAAATCAGATTTCAGATCTACTGCCAGCCCTTCCCTGGGCAAACTGTGTTGACAAACTTGCTACCACCACTAGCAAGGTGCTATGTGAACTTTTAGGGATTTGTTTGCAATCCTAATAAATAACAGTGACCCTGCTTGCCTGCCCCAACACAGGCCTGCCCTCCTAGGCCTTAGTTCGTCCAAACCAGAGCCACAGCTGCTTCTCATGCTCTAATTCTCAGTCAAATAATCAGAAAGGCACCTGGGAGAGAGAGCTGCTGTGCCTGTGGCATTATGCTCTTCCCAACACTGCAAGGGCCTGCTGAATACTCAGAGTGGGGCTGGGCTCCAAGGGGTCAGGAGAGGGAGAAAATACTCCTCTTGTCTGGGAGAGGAGAGAAGAGAAAAGATGAGGTAGGAGCCGTCTGAGGCCAGCAGAGGGGTGGGAGCCCCAGTGTTGGAGGGACTGAAGGAGCAAGGGGGCTCCCTTGGGAGTGGGGTTGGGGGGCCTACCCAAAGGGCCGCACATTGCAAGGGGGGCAGATTTAGCTGGGTGATGGGCAGAGGGCATTCTAGGTCATGCTGGGCTAGAGCTGACAACTGTGTCTGGGTCTGAGTACTTCCCTCTCTGCCAGATGGCGGCCAAGCACCTGGCGGGGGTCCTGCTGCACTCCCTGAGTGAGGAGTGCTACTGGAGCCCCCTGTCCCACCCTCTGCCCGAATTCATGGGCAAGGAGGAGAATTCTTTCGCCACGCAGGCCCTGCGGAAACCTCACCTCTATGAAGGAGACAAGTAAGTTCTGCCTGCCCTGCTGCACCTCACCAGTCTCACATCTCGCGCAGGGTTCTGTCCCCACTGGTGGCTTTCTCTTCGCCCCATGCTCTCCTCCAGTCTCCACTCAGCACACTGCCAGGCAGCCTCCTCAGTCTCAGCAGGAGCCAGATCAGCTAGCGAAGGCAGGTGTTGGGGTCCAGGTTGTGGAGATAATCCTATAAGGCACTCGGAGGCCAAAGAAATCGTTTGGAGGTGACCTGTCTTCCCAGTAGTCCTGTGTGATACACCTCTGTCACTTGTGCCGTTCCTCAAAGGTGGGGTCGCTCGTTGCCCCAGCCATTCCCTGCGGTGCTGGTGCTGGGAGGAAAGTTTCCTCCCCAGGAGCGTCCGTACTATTCCAGCCCAGCGGCCGCCGCCCACCACGGCCTTTCAGATCCAAAACTCTGAGGCATATGGTATCCGGTGCCCATGAATTATGCAGGAAGGGGTCACCTTACCGGGCTGGTGCTGACTTCAGGGCAGAAGGCTGGCATGGTGGGTCAGTGGTGCTGTCTGGTGAGGTGCGTGCTCTAGCCAGGCCTGTCATTTGTGTCTTTCAGCCTCTACTGTCCCAAGGACAACATCGAGGAAGCCCTCCTGCTCCTCCTCATCAGCGAGTCCATGGTAAGCTCCAGGATGTCCTTCAGCGGCCTGTGGCCCTCTGACCCTGTGGGGAAGGGCTGTGGGGCCCAGGTACAGGCCATCCGTGACCTACCCAAACTCTGTCGCCCAGGGATACTCCTAAAGTAGATGCTTCTTGGCCCTGGGCCCCCATACGGCAAGTCTTGCTCATTAGGTTTGGGATTGGCTATAGAAGGCTTCATTTGGAGGCCTGCGTTCTGCTGCCGAACAAGTAGAGACTGAGTGCCTGGAGCCACACCCACCTCTTTTGGGATTAAAAAAATGATCATCAACAAGGTCACAGTAAAATGTTACATAGCTGTGTGCTGGGTGCCGTGACAGATACGAGAACATGGCAGGTAGGGAATGGAAGGAATGTGCACTTTGGAGTCAGAAAGCCTGGAATCAGGTTCCAGTTCTGCATGTTAGCTGAGGGCTGGGGCACATCACTTATTTTCTCTGAGCCTCCGTTTTCTCCCCTGTAAGATAACAGTACTCACAAAGGTAAGCGTGGAAGGAGTTCATTTATTCACGCAACAGCTATTTATTGAGCATCTACTTTGTGCCAGGCCCTACTCTAGATGCCAGAGATGCCGCAGCAAACAAATGGAGAAAAGTCCTTTCCCTCATGAGCTTACATTCTAGTGAAGAGAAGCAGGCAGTAAATAATTAATCAAAAACTACAATATGCAGGGTGTCCACGCATGAGTGCTATGGGAAAAGAACACAGAGCAGAAGACGAATTGTGCTAGACAAAGCACACGTGAAGTTGGCTGTTTAGACTTTTCTATAGGACCCATTGCTCATGTCCTAGGCAGGAAGATGAGGCAAACGCACCCATGTGGATGCACGCACACACTCATGCATGTGCACGTATGGTGGCCATGGTACCAAGGAATGTTTGCCCAGGGCTAAGCACTTTGGAGGCTCAGCGTAAGGAGAGTGCAGTGTGGCTGTGTGGTTGAGGTGGTGGTAAGATGAAGGATGGACTGGACTTGTCCAAAGAGGGCACAGGAAGAGTGGGACAGGAGCAGCAGAAGCCAAGCACAGAGAAGTCATCTACATGGTCAGGTCCAAGTCCTCCGACCAAGGGGCCCATCAGAGCTGGTGAGCTGGGAACCACCGGGTTGAGAAATTGGTTTTTTAAAAAACAATGCATCTGAGAGCAGTGTATGGATGCGGAGGTTGAGAAACCAAGACCCCATGAGCAGGATCCCTGAACAGCCAGAAATGAATGTTCCCTTGGATGTCTGGGACCTTGCGATGCCAGGGCTTGCTTAGATAGCGTTGGTAATCAGATTACCTCTGGTGCCTCAGGCCTCTCAGCAAATGGGAGCAGGCACTGGGCTGTGGGACAGAGGGATTGCATCCTGCCTCAGCTGGGGCTGGTCCGTGTTGGATCTGAGAGTTTCTGTGTAGGGTGTGGATATTTGGATGGGATTGCCAGCTGGCCAGGGTGTTGTCCTAAAATGTTTGCCTGTGAGGTGGGTAAGTGGTTGCCCAGGGGAGGGGCCATCTCACTGGTTAGCAGCTGTGGAGGTAAGAGGCACCGTGTGCCACATCTGATTTTCATGGGAGAACAGTGTGCTTTTTACTTTTAAAAATGGGCCCTTACTCTGACCACAGACTGAATCCTGTACAGACCAGTACTCCCATCCCCTCTCCGCCATTTTACCACATCCACCCTCCAGTGAGACTGCACTGGAATCACCTGTCTGGAAACATGGGTTTTTTTGTGGGTTTTTTTTGGTTTTGTTTTGTTTTGAGACAGAGTCTCCCTCTATTGTTTAGGCTGGAGTGCAGTGGCGCAATCCTGGCTCACTACAACCTCTGCCTCCCAGGTTCAAGTGATTCTTCTGTCTCAGCCTCCCGAGTAGCTCGGATTACAGGTGTTCGCCACCACGCCTGGCTGATTTTTATATTTTTAGTAGAGACGGGGTTTCACCATGTTGACCCCGCCGGTCTCGATCTCTTGACCTCAGGTGATCCACCCACCTCAGCTCCCAAAGTACTGGGATTACAGGCGTGAGCCACTGCACCCAGCCTAAACACCGGTTGTTTTGTAGCCTGTGTGTACTGAGGCTTCCAGTGCAGTTTACAGGTAGGTGGTAAAAGGCTGAAAACAGGGTCATCTGTTAGGTCCTTTCTCAGCCAGGGAGGTTCCAAGCTGATTAGGTGAGCATTATGTTCACCTAATTGAAATTGCCTAATTTTCAATTGTTTATGACCTACAAAAACAACAGTTTCATAAAAGTTCACTCTAATACTATATGTTCCCATCTTACAGATGACGAAAGTGAGGTCCAGGACAGGTATGGCTGTTGGTCAAGGTCGTATACTAATAAGCCTTGAAGCCATGACTCAAACATGTCCTTCTCCCTCAGCAGTTTCCAAGCCCCAGGATGCAGGGCTCCTGGACTTCCATCCTGGTGCTTCCCTTGTCCACTACTCTGATCCCTGGTCTTCTCAAGTGTAAAAGGCCAGGGAGGTGACTTTGGGGATCAGAGGGCTTTGTAAAAGGGACAAGCCTGTCAGGGTAAGGATGGTCATAATTTTTCTCCTGGTAGGGAGCGAGGCTGGGCTTTGTCTTCCCAAGTCATTTTCTGTAGCCTCTGCTTGATCGAAGTCCTCAGGACAGAGTTCAGATGCCTTTCAGTTAAGGCTGTCCACCCACTCCCAAACCCTCCAAGCAGAGAATGGCCTTTCACAGAAACATGGCCCATGCTTGGAGCCAGGTGGGTTTTCCTGAGTATGCGTTCTCTTTCAAGCAGCTCTTTCCCTTTTGCACGACAGTGTGGCCGGCAGCCTGCCTCAGAGACTAGGGGTTAGAGGGTGGGTGAGTCTGGGTTGGCTGGCCAGGCGGTGTCCTGGGAGATTCCCTGTGGCGCAGGAAACAGGCACTGCCCAGACACTGTTTGCACTGAGGCTGGGAGGAGGCGCCTCTTGTGGGGCTGGCTGGTTTGTTTCCCCTTACACCCAGCCTGTTAGACATTCAGAAACTTGAGGGATTTGGGGAAGAGTGTTGGCAATGTGCTTAGCTTTAGTGTTTCGTCTGCGGTGACCTTTTCCCCGGGTGCTGGATCTGGCCTCTGTGGCCGGGAATGGTTTCTCCGAGTGGCCAGACCTGCCATTTCTCCTGCCTTTGTTTTAAATTCTCCTTCCTTCCAGTCTCATTCTTGAACAGTGAGAGGACTAGGGTATGGGTTCCACTCTACCAGCTTCCCAAGCTCCTGCCCTGATACCACTCAGCTGAACCCCAAGCCTCCATGCACCTGTAGGGTTTTCCTCATCCCCCTTTGATATTGTCTGGGTTTGGCTGCAAATGATGGGCTTGGAGAGAAACCTCTAGAACAGCAGCTGTTGGCCTTGGCTGCTATTTAGGTTCTCCTAATACCTGCAGAATGTGTTATGCTGCAGTGAAAGCTTTTCCCGCAGAGCCAACCCAGGAGGCATCATCATCATTGCTTCCACCTCCAGGACATCCAGAGCAGCTGCTGCAGGAAGCAGTGTTTGCAGTGTTTGCAGGCTTCCTTATTTTGTGGTTTGGAACTCAGAGGATTGGCTGTGTGGTATGGGGCTGCTACCTTGGATATGGTTTTTATTACAAGCTGACTATGTGCGATCAGAATGAATGAGGGAGACCTTGTCTTTCCAGAGGTAAATAGAAACCTTACTAATGCTTTCACAGGAATGGAAGGAGGATATGAAATATAACTGGTTGAAGATGATTTGTGTTTTAGACCTAGTTTTGAGTCTTTGGGGCCAAAATGGCATTTAAAAATCCACCTACTTATCATTGATTCATTCATATATCCATTATCTACACACTTTCCCATTTATCCTTCTGGCCATCTACCCTCCCATCATTTCTCCATCCACCCATCCTCCTACCCACCATTCATTCATCCACTTATTAATCCATTCATCCACCATCCATCCATCCACCCATTAATCCATTCATCCACCATCCATCCATCCACCCATTCATTCATCCATCTACCCACCCACCACCAGCCATGCATCCCTACCCATTCATCCATTTATCCATCCACCTCCCATTCATCCAACCACCCTTTCATCCATCCATCTATCCACCATTCATGTATCCACCTATTCATCCACCTATCATTCATCCATCCACCCATCATTCCATCCATCCCCCATTCATCCATCCAGCCACCTACCAACCCTGCATCCACCTACCATTCATCTGTCTATCCATCCACCATGTATCCATCCATTCATTTACTCATCTATCCATCTACCTACCATCCATCCATCTAATCTTGTTCGAGCAGCTACAGCATGCAGGACCATGCTCAGCATTGTAAAGACAATGATTAATTGTTCAATCATAGTTCCTGTCCCAAATGGACTCCCGTCTACTGCAGTTTGTTCCCAGGGATGTGGAGGAAATCCTGGTCCCCAAATCAGAAGGAATGATCCCAGTCTGCTGAACCTCAAATGTAAATTCTTGTTTTTGAAAGAACTGTGTATCAAACCAGCCTGATTTTCTGAAACAGTTGGGGAACTAGGAGATACAGGAATCTTTATTATTTCTAAAATACTGATCTGGGACATAAAAATATGTGCTAAAGTAAACTGAACCCTTGGATCCCTGTTTCTTTTCGCTAGCGAACAAGTTGCTGCTCTTAGAAATGGAAAGGGTACAGAGCCCTGGTGTTGAGAGAGTGGGGTGGATAGGTAAGTCTCTGAGTCCTGGGACTCTGCAGATTAACAGACTTTGTGCCATGCCCAATGCTGGGCATCTGGCTATTTGAATCTTGAATTTACCATTCACAATCTATGTGGCCTGGGTGAGCTTCTTACCACCCTGAGCCTTGGTTTTCTCATCTGTAAAATGGAGCTAATAAGGTCTCTCTTGTATGACTTTGGTGGATTAAATAAGAAAATGAACGTGAAGGTGCCTGGTACATTTTGGTTCTTCAATATGTGCTCATTTTGTCCTGATAAATACTTGATCCTGACTTAGTCATTTTTGA